CTTCATAATTCTCATGCACCTGAGCTAAACCTTCACTACAGGGAGATGCTTGTTCAAAATACAGACTGTTGGGTCTACCCCAGATCTACCAAACCGCAAGTCCAAGGGGAGGGGTCCTGGAAGTTTATAGCAACTGCCTCTCATCTTGGCCCACTCCCACTCCAGCTGATTTGTGCAGGCAGCTGGCCATATGCTACAAACTGACTTGTAGGAACCACTAATCTGTAAAACCCCCATTTCACAGATGAGGAAATCAGGATTCAGAGAAGTGAAAAATCCTTGCAAATTGCCCTATCTTGTCCCATAGCCATCCTTTCCTGAAGAGAGAGAGAGAGAGAGAAGAAAGAAAAGATGCCAAAATGTGGCAAACAAAAATGGAGTGAAGATGCTAATCAGAGAAATAATTCCATCTTTGACCCTTGGATATCTCCCCGAAACAACTAAAAATCCATCCCTTAGAGCAGGAGTTCTTAATCTGGGGAGTCCATCAACTTGGATATAAACAAAATCACTTATTTATTTTCACTAAACCGAAAGTAAGCACTTGCTTCGATTATGAATGCAAGTATCAACCCACAGCAGAAGAAATCCTTAGTGTCACAGGTAGAAACTGCAGATGTTTATATTTTCAAATTGCATCACGGTTGTTGCAGACACTGAAATACCGTTTCCATTCATCAGTACATTGAAACTACGGGAATTTTGAACCTGCCCCTAGGTCTTGTCGTTTAATGCATTATTAAAGAATCACATATATTTTTAAAAATTTTTGGTAACTATATTTTAATACAACTGGTATCCTTTGTGAGCCATTGTTTTCTATTTACGCATTTAAAAACATTCTTCTACGAAGGAACCAGGAGGCCAAAGGGACCCACGGAATAAAGGATGCTTAAGGAGTCCTAGGGACCAGCATCTCCGAAGATCAAGTCATGCTCCCCACACCCCGTAGACCAGTGGTTCCTAAACCTCCCAGGCAGCAGGAATCCATGGAGGGACTTATCATTCTGCTGGGGACTAAGAATCATTTTAACAAGAGCCTCAGGTGATTTGGGAAATGTCTTATCAGTAAATTTGGGAAATGCTGCCTTAGGCTGTGTCTGTTGAAAATCAATAGCCAACTTCAGTACCTGAAGACACTCTCGTGCTTCTCCCACCTTCTGTATTGCCAAAGGGAGTTAGTTATATTCATTAGCAAGTGAGAGTAACACCACCTGGCTGCTGTATAATTCAGAAGTGAGTTATTCATTAAAATTTAGGAGGAAGGTAGAATCATGCCTCTAAAAAGCCTTCAATCAATCAGGGCTTTTTTTGTTTGTTTTCCTTCGGCTTTAATTTCAAAAATCACCTTATTTTTCACGTTCTCCCAACATTCTGTACTCATCTCACTGTCAGCATTCATTGTATCGCCTCATAGTCAGTTTCTCGGTGTCCATCTCCCCGGCCCTCGGTTCACCCGTCCCCATTCACACATTACTCCCCTTGACAGGCACACACTATGTTCTGAGGCCTTGGGGACAGACACAGGTTTAATGCATGTCAGTACACCCGCCCAGCAAAGGAGCAGCCCTTGACGGCACTCAGTAAACACTGGGCATGTGGGTGGGTGGTGGACGGACGTGCAGACTCCCCTCCCTCCTGTGATACAGGAATGGAGTTAAACGGCACACTTCCCAGAAGCAGCGCGTCAAGGTGCTGACCTCCGAGCCGTGAAACACGGTAACGGTTAATATTAAGGGCTTGAAATTCCCACAACTTTTACTAGCTGTGTGCCCGTAGGCAAATTATTCAACCCCCCTCAGGCACTATTTCTTTATCTACAAATTGGAAATAATATTTACCTCATTCGCTTGCTGTGAGAGTTGCTTAGCTTGTTCCTGGCCCTTTCAGCTCTTTATTGATCACTCACTATTATTTACTTGGTGTGGAGGATTCCAGTTAAAAAAAAAAAGTATTTCCATTACACATCCCACTAATTAGAGACTCATCTTGATGAGTAAGCTCCAGGAAAGGCCAAGAGATGGCACCATAGCGGGAATTACTAATCAGATTGTTTTCTTCTTGACACTTAACTGAGATCACAGAGGGAAGGGCGATTTTGATGTTAGAATCAAAGACAGGAAAAGAAGACACCCAGAATGGGCTTGCACAGTGGGGGCTGGAAGCCAGAGGGCAGCTTGCGGGGCTCAGGAAACCAGGGACCAAAGAAACCTGCCAGGTGTGTACTTTCACTAGGCCCAGAGTCAGCAGCCTCCACTGTTCTGCACTGTTTCTCTGCTACCCTGCGATACAGGCAATCAGATGGTGTCTGGTTCCCTAGAAGGGAGATGGTGCAGTCTGTCCCACAAAATCTTTGATGAGCATACAGTTTCCTCCTTCCCGCCTTGTGTCCACCCACCTCCATTCCTTTCCAACAGCCGCCCCTCCTCACCTGACACTCCCCTACAGCAGGGTGTGTAACAGCCTGCATTCCAGCTGCCTCTACCAGCCACGCCACCCTGAACCTCTCTAAGCTTTATCCTCTTTCTCTGCAATGAAGATAACAATGGTGCTTTCAGGACAATGATCAGCAATAGAGGTCATGTACATAAAAAGTGCATGGCAGACATCGGGCACTTAGTAAACATTCAATAAATGGTAATTCTTAGTATTAACACAGATTATGTCAGAGACCATTCATTCTTTCAGAATATATTTACATGCAGGACTCTGCTCTAGGGGCCGGCTGCAGCAGCCAACAAGGAAAAGTCCCTGGTCCTGTCGGGTGGGTGAAGTCTGATAACGTGACTGATAACAAGTTATCAGAATCCAAAGTGTCAAGGTCATAGAAATTTCTGGAATGGGTCATGTGAGCCAGTGACCCATGTAGACTGAGTTCTCAATAAATTTTAGTTTGTATTAACAATATTAGGGTCTCATATCTAATAGAATATCTAATTATTCTATTTAAGAATGCCTTGCTTCTCCAGTTATAAGTTCTTCAAGGACAGGGCCTGAAGAACTTTTTCAAAAACCTCTTAAAACACATAACATACCCTCCTATGAACTAAGTATTAGGAGTATCACAATTTCTTGCTTTATGAACGAATGAGCCAATAAACAAACAGACACGGAGCAAGCACTGGAGTTTGCTATTGTTCTAACTACCCTCTCTCGCCTACACAGTCCCCCAACACACATTCACAGACAGGCACTCACAATTTTGCACAAAAAAGTGATTTTCTTCCCCAATTTAAGACACAAATTGCATAGTAGACATACGTTAAAAGAGATTTAGTATACAAGATTCACCTTTTGCAAGAAGTTTTACAGCTTACAACTGTCCCATGGACTGAGCGAAACCAACTTCTATTCTCCTGGCCCCTTAAATCTTTATGTTATGACTATACATGTCCCTTTTAAAAAGTTTTTCATTCTCAGAATTCCAATAAATTCTTACTAGGCCTTTATTTATATAGTCAAATGGTTGGACTAAAAGAGAAAAAGTAAATCCACACCTAAATGAACAAAAATGATGACTTCATCACTAGTTTGAAATTCTCATTGCTGCTTTTAAATGAAGTATTTTTGGTCAGAGTTTCTCGTAATGGAGTTTGGAGAGGGCCAAATATAGGAAGAAGACTGGATGCTGAAAAGGAAATAAATCCAAGGGGAAAGAAGTGATGAGGGAAGGGGAGAGGGAGAGAGCCTCTCAGGACCTTGCGTTAGTGCCATAAAACAAGGATGTGCGGCACATGACCTCGTGATGTAACAAGCGTCCTAGATGAGAGCAACGTCTTTATGCACTGTCACTTGCACTGTTTTTTCCTTAAGAAGCTACTGTCCCTCTGCTTCACTCCCCTTTCTCTTAAATAGTCGGTGGGTTTGCCCAGCAGGGATATCATGAACACCCAGCTGCAGCCAGGAGCACAAAGCTGCCCATGTTTCTCCCTGAGAACCATGGTCCCCAAGAACGGCAGCCCCAGGGACAGGAAGCTGGCAAGAGCAGAAAAGCCTCGGGGCCCCAAGTGTGGCACCTGTGGACCAAAGTCATAGTCTCCCTGACACATCTCTCTGGCTCAATTAGGTTATGTCAAAATCTTTTCAAATAAAACAGAAGTGTGCTAGAATATAAATTACCTTAAATTACCTAAATTCCTGACTTACCTGTAAGTGCTATTCAGAGGAGTTATGGAACTTGGAACACACGTGTAAATGCGGGAGGTCAGAACCACCTCACTGATCCTGGGAGTGGTAAAGAGGATCTGGGCCCCTTTTCAATGCCCTGAACACACCTTTCTGCCCCCCTCCACCTCCCACCACCGCTCTCGGTGATTAGGACCATGATGTGGAAGGCAGGCCCGCTGACACTGACTTATTTTACGTAGACACTTACAGATGTTGGTAAAGCTTCCAAGCTTTAAAACCAGCAGCCAGAATGCGTTCTCAGCTTATTTCCTGGAACACGGTGAGCTCTCCACCGGGCGGAGGGCTCGGAGAGGCGGTTCTGGCACAGTGCACGCACCTGGCAGTCCCCAAGCTCTCCTGCTACCAGCTGTGTATCGAAGGGAGGATCACTTAACCACAACGAGATTTAGTTGCCTCCTGAGTTTGAACCCAACTGGTGATTCGCAAACCTTGGTGTGACGGGACAGAGGGGAGTTTGTTTATTTAAAAATTAAGATTCATGGGCCTCAGATCCAGAGACTGTCACTCAGTAGGTCTAGGGAAATCTCCATCTTTCATGAGCACCCCACTGCGGACCACACTTGGAGAAACGCTGCACAAAATGATTTGGAAGATCCCTTCAGCACTCCCAATCCGTGAATTCGTCCTTTCTTATGCAATCAACCTTAGGCAGCCTGACATTCCTTCGGCGTCTACCTACCCTTGGTAATGATGTACCAAAAGCGAGGGCTTGTCTGAGTCTGCGCCAGGCAGCCTAGGGAAGGCAGCAGAGTTGACTGGGTTGTTGTCCCTTCACTGGGGGAAACACTAACATCCTTGTCTCTGATGCCCAGGTGACAGGCGGAGTCTGGACTTTCAGCCGAGTTTGCTGTGATGTTTTTGTCACTCTGGATGTCATGATGTGTACAGCCAGCATCCTGAACCTCTGTGCCATCAGCATCGACAGGTAGGGCTGGGCTTCCCCTCCTAGCTTAGGAGGGGGTGCCTAGGTCAGGCAGTGAGGGAAGCCACCCGGGGAAGCTGCTCTTGCTGCATCTGAGACACGGGCTTTGCCTCTGAGGGCACTGGGGTCACTGCCAAGCACAACTTACCACTGGGACATTGTCTTTCCTCTCTTTTTCTTTTCAACTATGGTCTGTAGGTGAGATGAAACTCCTGTCCCCTGAGAGAAATAACTATCATATAAGCTTCCCTTTCCCCCAGATCCCTAAAGAGGATCCTGGTTTTGCTTTTCCACTATCCTTGGGGCTTTTGTGGTTCATAATTTTTTGTGCAGAGAAAGGGGGAAGGAGGACAAGGAGTTGAGGTGAGCTGACACAGTTGGGAGAAAATTCTCCTGTTGTCATTTTGTTTGTTTGCAGTAAAGGGAGGGAAGACAGAGAGAGGGGACAGGAAATCTTGGGAGTCTTTGGGAGGAGGGCAAGGGGAGAGGAGGGTAGGGAAGAAGGGTACTTTACTATTACTTACAGAAAGATATAAATGATATCTTCATATCTAGTTATTTACTTCCGTGATCTATTTATTATTTTCCTTCATAGAGCTGAAGAAAAACAAGTAAAGAATGATGTTTTTTAGGACTGCCTTTTGGTTGCGAGTGGGTTTCCATGATCTTTGACTCGACTCTGTGTGTTCGTTCCACCAGCGTAACATTGCTTTCTGTCCCTCAGCGTGCCCTGCCCTGGCTCTGGGGCCCTGTGTTCCTCACTGCCCTCCTCCTTTTGTTTCCTCTCCTCTTTCCATGTCCCCTGCCAGTCTTAGATTTGCCATGGCTCCAGGGACATCTCCAGGCCCCCTGCGTGCCTGGGGAAGGGAGGTCGCTTTCCAGCTATGGCCTCTGTTGCCAGTCAAGAGTCCCCGGCCACCTCTTCTCTTCCGACACTCTTTCTCCCAGGACTAGTATCCATCCACTCCATTGCTCTAACAGGTGACTCCACATAGGATCTGCCATTTATTGAGAATTTACCACTTTGTGCTAAGGCATGTCAAAGCCTTCCTCATTCCATCTTCATGACAACTCTTAGGTACTTCCAGCTTCTTAGACTAATTAAGGAATCTGCCCAAAGTCACATAGCTAGTATGAAGCAGTGCCAGGATTTGAATTCATGTCTATCTGTCTGCAAGTGAATAATTTAGGCTTTGTGCTAAGCCCTGTCAAATCTCCAGCTACACCTCTAATTTCTCCCCTGATTTCCAGACCACATCACTGCCTGGATATATCTCTGGCTCCATACAAGGCAAAATGTTAAAAACCAAACCTTCAAACCATCAAAGCACCAAACCAGCTGGACTTGGTTATCTCTTACTGGCAATGTCATTTTCCTGGAATCTTGAATTTTGTTTGACTCCTTTCTCTTCCTTATCTCCCACATCTTAGCAGTTAGTGCTTACAGAAGTTTTTTCTAAAAGTGCCCCATCTATCCTTTCTTACTGCTCCTGCTTATTTTAGGTTCCTATGTCCTCTCACCCAGGCTTCTGCCACAGCCCCCTAACTGGCCCTTCAACCACTCTCAGAATTATTCCCCCAGAAGTAAAGGCCAAATGTCCACTGCCTTACTCTAACCCCTTCAGTGTCTCTTTGGCCCCTGGAATAAAAATTAAAGTTAACTTCACAGCCTAAGATACACAGCTGTCCACTCTATGGCCTCAGTCTAACTTTCCCATCTCATCTCTGTCTGGGTTGCTCTCCAGCCCTCTCACATTCCAACGCTTATCACACCGGCCTCCTTTTCTGTGAAGCCCTTCCAAATGTCCACAACGGAATTCAGTCACCCCTGAACTCTCCCCTGCTTCCTCTGTCATGGTGTCGCGGCATCTCCAGGCTGCCCTTTGCCAAGAGTCCTAATGCAGGTCCTCCTCACTTCCCCAAGTGTGACATTCATACGATCTAGCATTGTGCCCTCTGTATCAACAGCCCTAAATATCCTTGCGTGTGTGCAACCAAAGGGATTAGGATAGGTCCATGAAAACCCTAGCCTAATGTGGCACTGCAAACCAACCAGCCAACTCGATGGCCTTTTGACTTACAGCATTTGATTGGCTATCACTGGACTTTCATTACTTGATCAGCTACCCTGAGAAGGAACATTAAATATGTGTCCATAATGCTGGAACTAAAACCGTTAAAGAATGTGTTTAAAAATAAAGGGACATGGTTGCGTAACGCTGTAAATATACCCCCAAAACACTGGTTTTTACACTTTAAATTGGATGAATTGTGTGGTGTGTGAACTGTATCTTGATAAAGCTGTTCAAAAGCAAAGGGATCATTAAGGATTCTATAATATTTTTAGCCCTCTGAGAACAGAACTCCTCTTATAATATCTGTGTCTTTTGTGTGATTTCTGGACAATCAGTAGATATTTTCAAGAACATATTATTTACAGAACTCGTGGACTGCATCTGGTTTACTACATCATCACCTCCACCACCACAAGCTATGATGCTAGTCCTAACCCCTCCTCACTTGTGAGGCTCTCTGATGTGCCCAGGACAGAGCTTTGAACAAAGAATATTAAACTGGATTCCATGGTCCCTGCCTGAAGGTAGTCAGGGTTTCTATCACAGTATGCATCTTCAGAAAGGACATGAGCAAGAGGAGAAGATCAGCCGTGGAGGAGGGAGGGAGGAACTGGATAAAGACGGCTTCTAGGAGACGCTCTGAACAGCCCCCTCCCAGCCTCCCAGTTCCGACCCCGCTCTCTGCCATCGTTGAGAGTGGGCCTAGACACTGCACCCTCACACCTTCACACACGGCGGGCAGGCAGGGGAGACTGCAGGCTGCTCCCTGCACTGGGCTGTGGGAACTGAGTTCAGCCAGGGCTCCAGTGCCAGGCCTGGAGTGGATCAGGAGAGGGTGCCTTTCTGCAACTGGCCAGCCAGGAGAGGGTATCTTATTCTAACTTGCACAAGAGCACCATTCTGCTGGCAGCAGCCATGCTTAATAGTCACTTCTACTTGAACCATTTAAGACACAACCAACAAGAACAATCCTTGAACTGGCTTCTGTTCCATACGGGGAGAACCCCCAGAATGCACAGCACTCACCTACCTGAAGCCCGAGGAACAAGTCCTGCCTTAGACCCCAGTGGACAAGGATGCTCCCGTCTTGGCTTCCAGTCTATAGGAATCAATCCTCACCAAACTTCCAAATGGAGCCTCCTCCCTCTTCTAGGAATGAAAATAGGCCTTGGAAAAGCTGTCTCCATTATCCTTCACAGCAGTTTGCAGTACACAGCATTAAATTCTGTTCATGGGATGCCAAATAGCTGGTCAATTCATTAAAAATGCAGTCACTCACGCAGACCTTTGGTCTTCACACAATGCTAGTCACCCGGCTGACAAACTTGACCAAATGGATTCAGCAGTTTTTGGTCATGAAGCCCTGATCTGTAATAACAGGGTAGTAAGAGATAGGAAAGAAAAGGAAATGATAAAAGGGCTTTTGAAAGCAAGTAATACTATTGTCATTAGATTCTCAGGCAGAGCTCTGGATGCTGGGATCAATGCCGCCTTTTCTTTTTTAAAAAGCAGAGTGGGTGAGGACAGCCCCCACGCTCCCCCCTTGGCTCCCTGCCTCCCAGTAGGCCAGCCCCCTCCCACTGCATCTGGGTCAGAACTAACTGGGGGAGAGGGCTGAGAAAGTGTCAGAGGAGGAGGACACCATGCGAGCAGTGAGAATTCGAGTCCTCCGCGAGGAGCCCAGGAATAATGCAACCAAATTCATTCACCAGGGAGTTCTTTAAGTGGCTCTCAAATGGCACCCATCACACAGGCAAGCCTCCGCGTCTTTGCAGCGAGCACAATAGGTACCAGATGAGTCACAGGCACCTTGGATTTTTCGTTTGCATCTAAATAAGCACTTTATATTTGCAAAGGGCTTTCCAGTCATTTGCAAAAAGCTTTCTCCTTCAACAATTCCATGAGGGGAGTCCACAGAACTAAAGCTTTATTGAGCCCCCTGTCTGACCAAATAAAAGGTGGTGAAAAGCAGCCCTCACAGAGCTCGGGGCTCATTAAACCCAGGCGGGGAGTTAGACTCAGGCCCTCCCACCCAGCCCAGCCTCCTTCCTCCCCTACTGCAGCTTCCTCTGAGGCACCGTCAGCAGTTCCCCACACACACCTCCCTCCCGGGGACAGGGCTCCAGGTGGAGGCAGAATCCCACGAGGATCCTGAGACCTTTAGCAGAGTGACAAGCGCGCAAACCCAGTCCTAGAACTGGGAATCAGAAGGAGCATTCGAGCTTAACTCATTCGTGCAGAAATGTTACATGTGCACGTGGGGTCCTGCAGCCTCTTAGGTCTGGGACTAGAACCGGCGTCTTCTGACGCCCCTACCAAGATTCTGTTCCAACGAGCGGCCCTTCACTGGTGGAGGTGGGGATGGGACTCCAAGGGAGGAGCCTTGGCCATGCCGGCAGTCCACCTCTCTAGGTGCTGTTTCCTGGGACTGTAAATCAGGCACGTTTCCTTTGTCTGCAATGCCCTGGCTCCTCTGTGCTAATCCTAACTTGAGGGAGTCTAAAAGCAACCGCAGGAGCAATAGCAATTTCTTCAGCATGTGCTACGGGCCAGGCACCAAGAGCGTTTCACTTTTGCTAACCTTCCCAACACCGCAGCAAGGGAGGTATACTGGCCGCATTTCACAAGACTCTTGAGGCTAGACTGTGTAGGTAAGCTTGCCCAGGTCACACAGCTGGTAGGTGCAGGAGTAAGGGCACAGTCAGCCTCTTTCTACTCCAGCTCATTGCCTTTCTGAGGCATTTAGCTGTCCTCTGGGCCCGGTACCTCTGAGTCACACTGCCTGGCCGGAAATCCTGGCTCTGACACTGAATAGCAATGTGACCTTGAGCAAGTCAGTTAACCTCTCTGGCCCTCAGTTCCCTTATCTGTTGTGTAGAGATAATAGCAAAAGGGTTGTTATGATTAATGAGTTAATATTTGTAAAGC